GGTGGCAGAACCAGGTCTTCAAAACCTTACGGAAGGCCAGGAGTGTGGGGGCTAATCGCATGTCCCGGGGCAGGATGTTCCAAAGAGCAGGGGCTACTGCAGAGAAGGCCCGCCTTCTGGACCCCGCCAGTCGAAGTACTTTCACTGAGGGGGGCTGAACCATGACCTCTCTGTGTGATCGGGTGGGACGGGTTGAAGTCATAGGGGAGAGGCGGTCCCTTAGATAACCTGGTCCCATGCCATGTAGGGCTTTAAAGGTGATAACTAACACCTTGAATTGAACCCGGAAGCAAACTGGCACCCAGTGCAGTTCGCGGAGCAGAGGCGTTATATGGGCCCTCCTTGGGGCACCAACAATAGCCTGCGCGGCTGCATTTATATTTTTCTCATATACTTTCTATACTCATCCCCAAAAATAAAATGTTGAAACTACCAAGCTGGCCAAAGATTATTAATCAATATCCATTCATTATTATGAGTAAATTTATAAAATGGAGACATTCCTTTATTTATTTTTTTAGTTTGGAAAATTTTCCAACCCCCATATAGCAGAATCTCTGTCGGGGGAGGGATACGTTATGTCAGTATGTGTGTACCTTCCACTGCAATTTTGTCAGGCTGATTATGCATGCATGACATTTGGAGGTCAAAAAAATCCCAGTAGAAGGTATTGGCAAACCACTTCTAAAAATATTATCAAGAAAACTGCATGTCCATATACTCACCAGGAGTCAAGTTTGACTGGAAGGATCATGACAACAAGGTGCAAATTATTAAGAATGAGAATTGTTGTGTTTGAATTATTTCTACTGAAATCTTATCTTTCCTTGATGTTTGGTGGGTTGCAATTTCAGTCCAGTTCTGGTATCGTCACTTGCCTTGATAATAATCCTCATAAGCTTGAAACTGGACAGTTCGTAACTTTCCGGGAAATCAATGGAATGTCGTCTTTAAATGGATCCACACATCAGATAACTGGTAAGCCAACCTTTTTTTAAGTTTGTAGCTTTAGTAAAACTGAAATAAATTTACGAACTGAAATAAGTGCTTTTTCCTTTCATATTGTTTTGTGATATTAGCTGCTTTAATTGGATTCCTGGGAAGTCTCAACACTGACATTATCTATTGTGTCGTATCTTGGAGATACTCAGTAATCTTAATTAGAATGATTTGAAATTTTGTGAATTTATAGCATAGAGAAATGAATTCAACTTGAAAGTAAAATATTTTTGGCATATAAACATGGGGGTTGACTAATTTTATTCTGGGCATTGTATTAATGCACATTGTTGCAAATTATGGCTGCACATATTGCCTTAATATTGTTTGAAACCACAGGAAAGATTAAATTAGTGGCGTAGGATTATGGGGGAAAAAGAAATCTGTTGTGTGGCAATCAATATGACATTTATATTCTGATAAGATAATAAAAGTAGCCCCCCTCCCAGCACTTCAGAAGAGGGACAGTGTTTTCATTTTTTCCATGTTGTCAACAGTATCATATCAATTGTGGTAAAATAATATTTTTATAAGTTTGTATGTTTATGAAATAAAATAAAACAGTACAATTCCTTAGAATACAAAAAGCTTATACAAAGAAAGATTTATATCCAGGATGTCGGTTCTGGGGGAATTTTGAAATAAGACAATGCTAGCACGGAAAAAATGATTAATAAGTTAATTCTGACAAATGGATTATAGAAGCTTGGTCATGCTATCTACCTAAAAAAATATATCATGCATTTTGGATCTATCATATAACTTATTATCAACAAAGATTAATAATAGCAAAAATGGCTACTGTATGCTTTTGGGTAGACAGCACAACCAAATTTGCACAATCTACTTGTAAGCATTTTTCAATGTCTTACTTTATTTTAATTTATTAGATTTATATCTTACCACATCCAGTATTCCACCTAGCACAGAAAATAATTTACCGGGACACTTTGATCAGCACTAATTGGAACATTTCAAGTAGTTATCCTGGAGATCATGAAATCCTGAGACACTTTTGACAGGACAGCCTTCTGCAGATCTGTTAAGTCCGCTGCACAATAACAGGGTCAAATGTTGTAAACTACCCTATGTGGCTGAAGAAAGAATGACCTTTGAACAATTTGGGTGGAGGAGGGTGGGTAGATTCTGCTAGAGGAGAATTAATATTCCCTCCAAAATGCATACCTTCAAGTGTGTGTTCCCAGAACTGATCACTGGAGCAGAATTGTGATGGACCACTTCATCCCTCAAGTTAAAGAAAGTGGATTTTAAAAAATCAGAGAGGGCTCCTATGCTTGTTGAAACTAATGGGAAGGAAACTCAAAATGGCAGGGAGTTCTTAGAAAAATTACTCCTAATATCGCAAACAGTTCTAACAAAAAACAAAAACAAATGGAAGATTGCAGATGAAGCAACCTTAGGCAATAGTGAAGATGTTAAAATTGAGGAGAACACATATGGGAGGATGGGAAAAGTCAGAGATTTTTGAGATGATAGCAGCAGAGTTAAAATTCAGAATGAGCTGAGAGTGGCCAAGAATGATAAGAATTAAAAGAATTTATTCATGTGTAGTCAGAATAGAAAATAATTAGTATATGAAGTGCTCAGTGAAGATAATAAAATCCTAATAGGTAAGAAAGGTCAGAAATCCTTCTCTCCTCAGAAGAGAAGTGGTGTCAGCCTGTTTGAGGTAGGGGATGGTAACTCCTGCCTTGAAGGAGGTGGTGGTGCACCCCTTTTTCAAGTGCTGTCCTTGGACTCAGTGCTTTTAGATAACTATTGTCTGTCTCCAACCTTCTATTTTTAGGGAAGGTTGTTGAGAAGGTGGTTGGTCTGTAGTTGATGAGAACCCTGAAGTAAGTGGATTGCTTAGACCTGTTTCAGTCAGGTTTCAGGCTGGAATTTACCAGGGAGGCTTGTTGAACAGTGGCGGAGCTGGGATGGAGGTTGTGCACTCCATCCTTGTGCTCCTTAATCTCTCAGTGGCTTTTGATATTGTCAGTCATGATAACCTCCTTGGCTGGCTTTGGGGGTTGGGGTTAGGACTACAGTTCTACAGTGGATCTCTTCCTTCCTCCAGGGCCAGTGTCAGTTGGTGTCAGTGGGGTGAGTGAGGACCCTCCCCACCCCACAAAGAAGGAGGTGCCACAGGGTTCAGCTTTCTCTCCTCTGTTGTTCAACATCTACATACATGGGTGAGGTCATTTGCTGGTCTGGGGTTCATTATCATCAGTATGTTGATGATACCCAGTTATATCTGTCAACCCCAGGCTGGCCAGGGGAGGCTGTCAAGGTTCTGTCCCAGTGTTTGGAGGCTGTGCAGGTTTTGATGAGGAGGAACCCTCTCTGACTCAATCCTACCAAGAGCTAGATCTGGGAATATTCCATCTTTAACTTTGGATGGGGTTGCACTTCCCCAATCGAGAGTGGTGCACAATTTGGGGCTCTTCCTGGATTTTCAGCTCTTGCTCAATGAGCAGGTGGCAACTGAGTCCAGGAAGATTTTTGCACAGCTTCACTTGGTGTGCCAGTTGCACACTTTCCTTTAGATAGTCATCCATGTCCTAGTCACTTCACAACTTGACCATTGCAATGTGTTCTACATGGGGCTGCTCTTGAAGATCACTTGGAAGCTTCAACTGGTCCAGAATGCAGTGGTATAGGCAGTGAAGGGCATGCCTTGGTTCTGCACATGTGACACCTCTGCTTTGTGAGCTGCACCGGTTACCAGTATGCTTCTGGGTGCAATCCAAAGTGTTGGTTATGACCTAGAAAGACCTACATGGAGTAGGACCTCATTATCTGAGGAGCCATCTATCTCCCTTGGTGTCTGCCCAGATGATATGAGCCAACAGGGCTGGTGTTCTCTGGGTCTCTTCAATTAAACAGTGTCACCTCTTGGGACCCAGAAAGCATGCCTTCTCCATTATTGCGCCTGCTGTCTGCAGTGAGGTTCCTTCTGTTATCCGTGTGGCTCCCACTCTTTTGGCATTCCAGAAAGCCTTAAAGACTTCACTGTTCTCACTTCTCTAGCCTGTTAATATTATTTTGAAATTAATTTCCGCCTTACAGTCCCACCCAATTCTATGTTATCTATAAATTTTATAGTCATATATTCCACCTTTTCATCCAAGAGGTTTGTTAGTGGCCAGTAGTTAAATATTAGGCATGGACAGGCCAGTTTTGTCTGGAATGCCATGCCCAAAACACCTCAAGCTGCTTCAGGTTTTTTTTTTAATCTGCTTTCAATCATGACTGTTTC